CCCCTGAAAACTCACTAGAGGTAAGCTGTGAGTCAGTTCTGACTCTAAAGTATATAACAGCAACAACAATTGAGAAAAAACTCTTTAAATTGCACTGTAATGTTGAGAGGCCAAAACAAAGGGAAGAAATGCCAGCTTATGAGAGAACAGAATTTCAAAGAGCAGCTCAAGAAGAAAAAGCAATATATTATAATTATCTACGCAAATAACATCTGGCATACATGTTACAAGGAGGGACCAGTCCTTGGAGAGGGACATCATGCTTGGAAGGGTGGAGGGACAGGGCAAGAGAGAAAGAGCTCGATGGGATGGACTGATTCAGTGACTGGAGTAATGGGGGTAAGTGTGACAGAGACAATAAGATTGGAACAAGACAGAGCAGGGTTTAAGGCTGTTGTACATAGGGTCACTATAAGTCACAGACGACTTAACACATAACAGTAACAACAACATTTTTGTTTTGTTTTCTTTCTCTTTTTTCTTATTCCACCTGACAACACACAGTAAATGCATCCATACACACACACAACTCTTGCAGCTTCACACATCTGACAAGAGTAAAGATCAGCTCCTGCTCCACTTCCCTGGTGAAAAACTGCACCAATACTGGTCCAGTGTGCCCCCTACTGTTCTACACAAGCGACTAACAGATCACTGTACATGCACAGCCTCTATTCCACCCACCAGACATCAGGACGTGAAACACAAGAATAGCCAGATTAGAAAGCAGTCCAAAATTTTTATATAGCTCAAGCAGATATTGTTGTTGCTATGTCCTGTTGAGTTGAAACCTATGCATACCTAACCCTCCAGTTGGTTTTCAGAAGCAGTAAAAAAAACATGGGAGGAAATTGTCTATTTTTCTCCTATGAAGCAACTGGTGGATTCAAACCGTATACTCTTGGGTTGGGAAAAATTCTTACTATTATGCCGTAAATCAAATATATGAAAGTAAAGTGATGCAAAGATCACAGCATCACAGTATCTTGGAGGCAAAAAAAAAATTAAAAAAAATCAAAAACCCAAAACAAAATGGAACAAAAAATTGACCAAAATAAAGAACTAGAAAATCTTTCTAAGGTAAGAAATGCTATTGGAACTTCCTAACTCATATCAGGGAACATCAAGAAGAATGATTTATGTATAATTGGGATTTCAGAAGAGGAAGAGGGCAGGGAAAAACATAGATTAAATCATTGAATACTTGTTGGGTTAATGGTTCATAAATATTACGGAAAGTGGGAATATATGTGTTCAAGAAGCCGAGTGAGCCCAACAGGAGAGAATCCAATAGAAAAACACAAAAATTAAAGGAAAAAATACTAAGAGTAGCTCAGGAAAAATGAAGAATTACCTGTGAAGGAGACTCAATAAGATTAAGCTCTGAAATCTCAGCAGAAATCATGCAAGCAAGAAGGCAATGAGATAGCATATATAATAACTCTGAAAGAAAAAAAAAGTGACAAGAAAGAATTGTATAGTCAACAAAATTCACCTCTTATGACAATGAAGTCAAGACATTTTCAGAGAAACAGAAACTAAACAGATTAGTGAAAAGTAGAGCATCCTCACATAAAAAATCCTAGGGCTAATTCTTTGGAGTGAAAACCTACAACTATGGACAAGAACCTAACATTCACATGCATAACAACATCATTCAGATATAAGCCAGACTTAGAAATACACAAACTATAATAAATATATGAGGGTAAAAATAGAGTATAAAAGATATTAATCCATTTATTTATGGTTGTGAGGACAATCACAATGCAAAATGAGGGAATAAGAAATGTAGTAGTAGAACTTCTAAATAGAGAGGAATTCAAGGTAATTACAGGATAAACTGAATGGTTTTAGACTTGAGAATGAAAAAGTAGCTTACAGAATAACTTCCAATAAATTAATAAACTTTTTTATAAAAACAAAAAAGAGGAAAAGTGGATTTAATAAATATAAACACAATAGCAACGGAGGCAATTATAAGAAAAAGACAAAATTAACTCAGCACAGGAAAATAAAGATGGGAAAAGAAATCAACAATGCCAAAAGAAAGAGTGCAGCAAAATGACAGCAATAAAGTGATAATTATTAATATTTAGGGATCTCTGGTAGTATAGTCTGTCAGCAATTGCACTGCTAACTAGAAGACATCGCCTCTTAGGTGGTTTGAATCCACCACCAGCTCCAGAAAGATGGGCATCTACAGCCTCAGAAAACCAAGTTGGAGGTTGAACTATGAGTTTATTCCTGACTTGATGGCAGTAAGAGTAAGAGACAGGGCATCAATAATTACACATATCACATACATCAATCCAGAAAAAGAGCAGCATAATGGATAAGAAAATATGAGCCAGCATATGCTGTTGACGAAAGACACACCTTAGAGACAGAACAAGGAAAAACTAAAAATCAGGTGTGCATAAACACAGGAAAAAAATAGTTGCTTAAGGATATAAATTATGCCTGTTTGAGATACAGAGATACCATCATGTTCTTTAATGTTTGTGTATGTGTAATTAGGTGGCCCACAAAATATGGACATTAGGGCAGAAAACTGCTCATCTATGTCTATGATTAGGTTTGTCTACATGTTTGCTTATCTTTTCTCTCCTTATGTATTAAAAAGAAAACGTCATTTCCAAAGATTATCCCATCTTAACTCCCCACCGTTATCTATTCCATAGAAGTCATATCACCTCCCTCATCTAGTCATTTCCTGTAAGAGAGACTCAAAGCATTTATAACTGGGGATACATATAGTATTTATGGGATGCTTTTAAAACGCTATCTTTTAGGATTTATTACGTTTCCAGAAGTATTTGCTCCTCTCCTTTATCACAAGTTTTTTACACTTTTTATTTTTTGGTCAATACATTCTTAAAAATAGTGACTAAAACACACTGAATAGGAGTGTTTACTTTTTTATCTGCCTCTGAAAACCTGCTGGAGGGTCAGCTATGGGTTGATTCTGACTCAATGGGACTCAACAACAACAACAACAACAAGAAGTCTGAAATACCTTTTCCATCATTAAAACTAGCCAAGCAAGAAACAGTAATCAGACCAAATCTATCACAAATGAGTAAATGCTGACACATTATTATAAAAAGGTATGCTTGGAAGAGTGGAGGCACCGAGAAAAAGAGGGAGACCATCAATGAGACGGATTGATACAGTGACTGGGGTAATGAGGGGTAGGTATGTTGGAGAAAGTTGGCACAGGAGAGAACAGGTTTCAGGGCTGTTGTACATAGTTTGCTATGAGTAAAAAGTGACTCGATGGTACATAACAACAACAGGGCATTATGGTTTTATTTATATTATTATATATCTTTGTGGGCATCTCTATTATTTCCAGTTAATCCATAGACACCAGTCTGGAAAAAGAACAACTGGTCTCAGCTATCATGCCTGTAATAATTGCTCTTTTCTGAAAAGCTTTAGCTCAGTTGTTCTTGATGTTGGCAAAGAATATTGAAAGACTCTGCACTGGGAAAAGAACAAAAAAAGTCTTTTTCTAGGAGAAGTACTGACAGAATATTCCTTGGAAGTAAAGACGAAGTCTCACATACTTTGGGCCTGTTTTCAAGAAGAGTATGTGGAGATGGGTGTCAAGAGTAAACAGAACAAGAAGAACTCTTAATGAGATGGATTGACTCAGCTACCTAAACTTTAACTTCTTGTTGTGTAAATCCAATACACCCAGAGCTGATCCTCCAAGGATTTTCAGAGGCAAGAACACTAGAGGGGATTGTCATCTTTTTCCTGCAATGAGATTGGTGGATTTGAACCAAGTGCTTTGCCTTGGCATAACAATTCCTTACCACTAAGCCACCAGAGCTCTTAGCAGGCCCAAGCTGATTTCTAAGCTATTGAGTACAGTGGTGACTTTTTGTTTTCCCCTTTCCTTCTTTTCCTCTCATATAACTAGAAAACGCAAAAAGAAAAAGGTAAGAACAAAGGAAAATATGGAGCAGGAATGAAATGAGGCAGGAAGTAGGAAGAAACATAGAAAATAAGATAAAAGGAAACTAGAAAAATAGATTAACTGGCATATATGAATTACTTAGGAAGCTTTTTTACAGATAAGACTTTAGAAAATAATATTAAGGAGGAAAATATGTCTGAATTGAGTCTATTTTTTAAATCACAATTTATAGTCAGGTAATTTCCTATAACAATATTTTTCAAAAGTTTTGGTTTTTCATAGTCAATTCCAATATACATGTGTGTGAATTAAATCAACAAACTCAACTCACTGCCCTTGAGTCAGAGTCAACTCAGAGTGGAACTTCCAGAAGGTTTTTAGAGGCTGTAAATATAAGAGAGGATTGCCTATCTTTCTCCCCAAGGAGTGCTGGAGAATTTGAATCAGCCACCTTGAGCTTATAACTCCCTGTAAACTATACCAATAGAGCTCCCTTGAAGTCAAATAGATTAGAATTTTCATATATTTCATTAACAAAAAATCTTTTCAATTCCAAGAATAAAAATAACTAAA